TCACATTCCATTCCCCAAAGTGAGGCTAAGGGAGAAAAAGTAAACACAGACGGGCCTGCGCTGATGTGTAATGTGCTGCAATGAACCTTTGATGATGATGCACATAAAAAAAGACATAAAATTAAAGCCTAAGTTTTAAATTTACATTTGACTTAGGGTAATAGCTGGAACGAGCCAGACCTGGAACGGCATTATAAGTGTAACCCTTCTGCCCCTCTGAGTTGGCAGCAACAGGGGCCGGGTTCAGTATCTAGGGGTTCCGTTTCAATAACGCAATGCAAAACCGGCTCGAACCCCCACCCAGTGACCTGGGACAATTACATACCACCCCCCGGGCGCCTCTAGGAGGCAATACTTCCCCTCTCGCAAGCACGGAGACTGAGTATAACAAAATCCTTTTAATAAAGGAGGGAAACAATGTGGCATTATGTTGGGGAAACACCACAAACAGGATTCATAACACAAACCATGAGCAAAAGACCCACCTCCAAGTAAGTTTGGCAGTGTCCTTTTCCCCTCAGGGTCTTAAGTCCAATCACCCCAAAGTCCAACAACCCAAAAATCTCTGTCCCTGGTCAGTGCCGCCCCAGAGTTCAAAAGTTTATCTGCAGAGTTTTACCCCCCCCCCCCCCAGCCTGGGTGGAAATGGGGAGGGGCACACAGGGTGTTAAGGGGCACCTTATGTGGTCCGAGGCCGACTGCCCCGCCTCTCTGTGGAGTTCTGCTGCAGCCTTCACTACTCTGCTCTGATACGCTTCGCTCGGTGGGCCGCTCCAACCGCCCCACAAACTGCTCAGCTCTGCCAACCGCTCCAGCTGCCCCCACAAACTGCTCAGCTCCGCTCACTGTTCCGTGGGCTGCTCCAACCATCCCACAAACTGCTCTACTCTGCCAGCTGCTTAGCAATAGATCTTCAGGCTGCCCCACTAGTTAACACAGCACTCAGTGATCTCAGCTCAGCAATTTCAGCTCTTAGTAATATTAGCTTGTAGTAGGGGAACACCAGTGCCAGTACACCATTGGCCCAAAGTGAATTCAAATCAGCAATCTCTAGCTAGACTCCCCAGGGAAGCAAAATTAGCTCTGCTATACAAC